CAAAAACCTATATACACCTAAGCCCTAAAAATCCTAAACCTCAACATCCTAAAGGTAAAAACACAGAAAATTAACTTAAGCCCAAGTTTAAAATGGTTTTGAGTATGTTTTTTGGCACTGCAGAAAAACGTGGAAGTACCAGCACATTTGACTTGTGAGAAACGAGTGTGCTTGTCAGAACTGAGGGAAAACGCGTGCGAAAAGTGAGGGCTTCGCCCTGGTGGTCAGCGAAAAGCGGCTGCGGCCCGTACTGTGCATCTATTTGGGTCAGCTCGTGAATGGTTGTGCTTCATCTTTTTCCGAGGTGCATGTGTGATTCTGTTGTGGTTAACATTGGCGGCGCTAGCTAGTCACCAGCTGTGATGAAGCAGTCACCGCACTTAACGGTGTGGTTCAACGAGGTGCCTTCCACGCTGTTCCCGATCCTGAATGAGACGAACCACGCCCACTGACTGTTGTATGTGGCAGGGTGGGCGGTTGTTTAACACCGACCTGGAGAAGCGCGCCAGGATTGCGACCACCTCATTCACACAGCGTTTGAGTGGGAGCACAAGCAATACTTTGAGGAGCGCCAGCAAAAAGGTGGCCAAGATGTGAAGATACTGCGCCTTGAGGTTGGGGGCAGCTGGGTCAAGGTGGGCGACGAAGATGAAGACAACCTGCCTGAGGGCGCGGATCCGCCAACTTTGGTGGACCTGGCAAAGTGCAACGGGATCACACGACCGCTGCACTCCGCCAACAATGCCCTGCGCAACATCATGGTGTCACTGCCACTGATCTTGCTAGGACGCAGTGACTACTACACGTCCCACCGGATTCATCGTCAGTGGCTGTGGGACAATCCGCACCGCAAGAAAGAGGCGGAGGTTGCTCCTGAAAGACTTGACAATCGCGAACTCCGTGCGCTTGTCCGCCTGTGTGACGATAGCCGCAGGTGGTATGGTCCTCCAGGAGGACCTTGAGCTCCTGGCATACCCGCCAGCCTGGGACGAGGTTGACGAGTTGAAGGACATGGTCCCTGCCACGTATATGGACAGCAAGCAGCATTTTGACGAGATGTCCAAAGCACGCTCGTGCGCAAGCAGCTGCGTGGCGAGCATAGGTCAGCCTTCTGCGCGAGAGTGAAAAAGCAACGGAAGCGCAGATGGGCACTGTCTGTGGCTGACGCGTCATTCATGCAAAGTTGCCGCGCTGCCACTTGTTTTTCGGTGGAGATTCCAGTTCCAAGAGGCGCGTGCCAGGCGAGAGCGACCATTTGGCCGCTATCGCACCACCCAGATTGCCTTCAGGTGTGCAGTCTGTGCCTGCTTGCGCTGCAAAGCCCCGCAGGGCACCTGCAAGGCGGCCTTTGCACCGGGGGGGGGGGGCTATTGCACAGCGAGTCTATTGCACAGGGAGCCGGCGCAGAGGGAGACTGCGAGGCCAACGGTTGCCAACCTGTTTTCATCAGTCTTCTGAAGAGATGTTCTTCTCGACCTCATGTTTTTTTCTGTTTGTCTTCCTTGCAGGTCTCGCCGAGTGGTGTGTGGTTGGCATGGCATCTGCAACGCGGAGGCCGATCATCGCGGAGATGTTTCTCTTGAAGTTGAAGGGTTTCATTGCCTTGGGCTTGAGGCACAGATCTGGCGACGGCTGAAGATCAGCTTCTGCAGTGCCAGCAAAACGCGCCGCTTGGAGAAAAACCATGTGTAAGAGTGTGCGTGTGTTTGTTTGTTTTTCAAATGTGTGTGTGTATTTATTGTTTGTGACTCTGTGTTTCAGTCAGGGTGAACATGTACAATTGTCTCTCAGAAAGGCATGCTGTCACCAGAACGCCAGCCGGATCTATGGAATGTGCTGTCCTGGGGCTCCACAGTGATGCCTGACACCAATGCCCTTGACATTGTCATCTCGGCCGGGGCCTTCACTTGCTTCACCAGCGTCTGCAGTGCAGATCGCATGCTTGCGGCTGACGAGGAAGAGTTTGACGAAATCGATCTCACTTGGATTTGACGAGAGTTGATGTCCCAACTGCCTTTTTGATGGCGACCAGCTCAAATGACTGAGCCAGGCATGGAATAGCCCTTGGATCTCAAGTCGGGGCGTCTGCCTTTTTGATGGCGACCAGCTCAAATGGCTGAGCCAGGGGGTCTCAAATCACTGCCTTTTTGATGGCGACCAGCTCAAATTACTGAGCCAGCCATGGAATAGCCCTTGGATCTCAAATCAGGGCGTCAATGTTGCCCAAAAGAGCCAACAGCTGAGAACGCGCAGACAATTGCGCAGAGAATTCGCGCCAAAATTTGAGCCGAGAACTTGTTCAGACAACTTGCGCAGAGAAACGGCGCAGAAACTTGCGTAGATATTTGAAGCAAGAATTTGCTCATAGAGTGTGAGTGATTGATTTTGCGGACGCATCTGGAAAATGTTTATGCGGTGTGGAAGCAAGGGCAAGTGACAGAGAGCGAGAGAGAGAGAGAGAGAGAGAGAGAGAGAGAGAGAGAGACAGAGAGACAGAGAGACAGAGAGACAGAGAGAGAGACAAAAAGAGAGACAAAACAAAGAGAGAGAGAGAGAGAGAGAGACAGAGAGAGAGAGAGAGGCAAAGAAAGAGAGAGAGAGAGAGAGGGGCAAAGAGAGAGAGAGAGAGAAAGAGAGAGAGGGAGAGTTGGCATTTAATGAACAAAAGCAGGCGGGATTTGCCTTTGCTTCTTTATAAAACTGGAGCCGGGGACGGTTTGGAAAATATGTCGTTTGGTATTGGCCTGGACAGAAGTAGGACCGTGTTTGCACCACCCACCCCCCCCGCTTCGTTAGGAGTGGAACTAGTCAGTTGGACCTTCATTAGGCAAAATCCTGGGAGGGAAGGGACAATACTTGCTTTAGCATTGCCAATTCTATTTTGTAGTGCCAAGGCTGACTCTCAGATTCCCAGCACTTGTTTTAGTATTGCCAATTCTACTTTAGTATTACCTCAGACTTCCAGCGCTTACTTTACAATTCTTTTTTCAGTATTGCCAAGACTGACTCTCAGATTCCAAGCCTACTGCAGGATTGCCAAGCCTGACTCTCAGATTCCCAATGCTTACTTTAGTATTGCGCGCCAAGGCTGACTCTCAGATTCCCAGTATTTACTTCAGTGTTGCCAACGCGACTTTAGTATTTCCAAGGCTGACTCCCAGATTCCCAATCTTGCTTTAGTATTGCCAATTTTTCTTTAATAGTGTCAAGGCTGGCCCGTGGATTCGCAGTACTTATTTTAGTATTGCCAATTCGACTTTAGTAGTGCCAAGGCTGACGATTCCCAGTACTTGTTTTAGTATTGCCAATTTGTTTTTTATCTCAGATTCCCAGTACTTACTTTAGTATTGCCAACTCGACTGTAGTATTGCCAAAGCTGACTCTCAGATTCCCAGTGCTGGTTGTTTAAGCTGTAATTGAACATTCACGCATTTTTGGAAACTGCATCCTCACTAGACTATATTCAAAATTCCATTTCTGGTCGAAGTCAAATCATATGTGGAAAGGGTATCAGACTGGGAAATTATGGAGGACTCCGGGCTCTAAGTTATCAGGCTTTGGGAACCCACAATTGCAAATTTCGAGAATATAAATTTGAGGTTCTAGATTTGCCATCCCCAAAAGCAGTAAAAGCAAGGTCCATGGGGGGTAGCATCTACATATATATACATATATTTGTTGATCTTCGATGCATACACGCTCATATCTGCAACACCTGAAGAAACAAGGACCTACATCAAAACGATAGTAGTTTTTTAACCTTGGATTGGTGAGCTCGCCATAAGAGTCTTGTGTTTGTTTGTTGCTTGACGTTCAGTCGCCTTGAACCACCTGTCCACATTTGCTCATCTACTACGATAGAATGAGTTTTGTTTCCTGCGCAAATAGAACTGTAAACGCAACTGATGTAGCTAGAATCCCTGTTTCGAGATAGGTTCAGAATTTGAACCTTTCTTCCCTTGAAATTTCCCTTTGGAACACCGTCTAACAAGTTCAATGTCGGACCTTTCTTATGCTACAAAAGGGCCAGGATTGAATAACACAAATCGTATTTTGAATTGCCTTGTAGAAGCCCCTTCAATGTTTCGCCATATTCAAGATGAATAATATTTGAGAAGTAGTCTCTATTTAATTGTTGTTATCAAAAGCTGACTGGTTTGTGTTCGTAGTAGGTTATTAGATTATGTTCTAACACCTCGAACGTATTTTACCACTGGATTGAAGATTTGCGTTTGAAATAGTTCACGGAAGCTTTTCCGCGAACCTTATGGAACACCCAGAGTATTGGGACAACTCTGTATTTTCTTTTACAAACAAAAATCAGGGATTCAAGATTCAACATTCCCAGAAAGTATGTTCTCAGATTCTTGAATCTCGAATCTTGCATCCAGATTTTTTAAAATAAAAATCTGAGGTGTTCTTGTACTCTTGAAAACATTCAAACTCTTGCAGATTGCAGATGCTGATGTCATTGCTTTTATCACATCTGTATTCATCATATATACATATGGCACCCTCCCCTAATTTTGACACACAATCCAAGAAGCAAAAAAGGCATAACACACTGGAAAATACAGATCAAAAGCACCAAACCAGGGTCCTTGGGGGGCTACCATATATACATATATATATATATAGATATAATGTATATGTGGTTGTGTCTACGTATAGCGAGGCTGAACTATTTTGTCGGTTGTCCGACATATGTCCACATGTGGATCACTCCTGCCCTCGTCGGCCGCTCAGTGGAAAGGGACGGGAAGAATACAAGGGGATCAAGCAAGATGTGTGTTTGGGCGACCAAGCGGTTTTGTCACCTCTGGCGCTTCAGTTGCACACGGCCAACTCTCGCAGCACCGCTGAGCCTACAGGAAGAAATGGCGCACAGTGTGCCATGGATTTGAGGTAAGAATCATTGTAGAGACCTTCCCTCCACGTTCTATGTCATGATGCGAGCACGCCTTGTTGCGGACACGTGTGAACACTTTGTCGGCACCGAGGAGAATCCCGGCTGCGGCAGGCACTTGGTATTCGTTTGAGCCGAACGAACCATGAGATGCGGCAATTGGCCCTGGGTCCTCTTGGGCTTGGAAGAAACACCTCAGGGAACCAAATGACTGGCTCGTTGGTGTTTAAGACATTCGTGCTTGCGCCATGGCTTGGTCTTAGGCTTGTTTTTTTTTTTGGGTTTTTTCTTTCGCGGCTTTAAGCTCAGAGCTTGCATGTGTTATTTGACATTCAGGCAACCGGCATTCGGTCAGCATGGAGCCGTTCAAGACCGGGCACAGTGAGACGTGCTGTCCAGATTTTGGGACCAAGCCTGCTGAGCATTTGTTCCAATCTCTGATAGATCGGCCCAATCATGGCCACGATTGCCAGCGCATTGTTTCGAACTGTCCTTCCTCAATCTCAGGATTCTGGTATTTGGCGCCTTTGCGTTGCACGGGAAGTTTGGCAAAAGTCCGTGAACTAATTCTCCACGAGCCTGTGGAGTTTGAGCCACCAGACCTATGAAAAGTCTATCGCAATGCCAGGCCTTTCAAGGTTATGTCTAAATGGGTGTGGCTCAAAATTTAAGAGCGAGGGTTACACGTGTTCTAGTCTTTGGTTCCATTTGCCAGGGTGCCATTTTGGTACCACTTTTTTGAGCCACAGCCAAATTTGTTTTGAACGCACTCCACTTCCAATCTCACCTTTTGCCCTTTGCCCCCCAGTGCCCGTTTCCCCCGTTTTCAGAGGGGAGGTTTTTTTTTTACATCAACCACCACAAGCCAGGACCAATCAAAACCCGGGTAGATGAAGGTTAGTACGGGACAATCCCAACCATAAATAGCTGCGCCTTCCTAATTCTTCACATGGTTCTGGGGATAGACATTTTTACTACCGGGTTTTGACTATGACCCACTTGGGATTCTGGACGGGGTTGAATAGTACCCGTCCTCGACCCACGCGGTCGAGAGCTTTCGCCAGGCACCCCTGAGACCGATCCCCGAGCCCGCGCTCGGACGCCCAAGTGGCGTGTCTCTTGCGGTGATCCGAAGTCTTGGGAAGAGTGGCTGTGGCTTCTTTGGGTGGTGTTTAAAAGGAAGCCAAAAGGAAACCACCCATTTTGGGGGTTGGCCTATTTTGAGACAATCCCGTGGCTCAAGCATAATCGGATTTCACAAAATGGGTTGCCCATGGGAAACAATGGAAATACAACAAAAATGGACCATTCACTAGGGGTTCCCGTTTGGACGCAATATTTGTGTCCTTTGACCATCGGAATCATTCTTTGCGCAGCACCAATGAGTGGCGTGCGATGGTTGACTCCCAGTGCCATTGCAACATCCACAGCCCGCATCTGAACAAAAGGTCTTTGGGGTATTTATTCTGACTTGGAGGAGGTTATACTGCCATTAGTCATGACAAATCATAGTGAGCATCAGTCTCTGAAGTTGTCTCTGATCAGTAGAGCGATATTCGCAAGTCAGAGCAGTTTATAGCCGGTCAGCTATTTCAAGACAGCCTGTTCTTGGGGCATGTTTGTGCTTGCGAGCCTTACGAACATGTTTTCCCAAGCCTAATCAAACCAGTTTTGGGCCTTGTGGCCTTGTGATGTATGGGCCCCAAAGGCAGATTGGCCCAAAAACCACCCCCACCCCACCCCCCTCCCCCCCCCGAGCAAAACAAACCTTTTCGCTGGTCCTTGTTGGCTAGGGCCGACATTTCGGTGGTGGAGATGGACGAGGAAGTGTCGGGGCCTCGGCTTGAGGCTCTCCAATGGAGGTTTGCGCAGGATGGGAAGAGCCGGGGGGCGGGTCCAAGGCGATGTGGGATGAGTCTATGACCCAGCCCAGTGGTGCCCGAAGTTTTGTCAATTTTTTTGGGGGGAAGGGGTCCCCTTTAAGAGTCAACCAACCAACAAAGGATGCTCTTTTTTTGCCCATGGCCACTTTGCATCTTGGATGACCACGAGATAGGGACTTGTTGAGAAGGAGAAGGCTAGTGATGCTGGAGTAGGGCGGCAAGGCGACGGAGGTCTTCTGCCCGAGGACCAGCGCGGTGGTATTGGTGCCGAACAGTGAGAAGGCGTCATGTGGTGGTTGCTGGTGCCAGTTTTCAAGCCAGCATCCCACAATACACCGCTACAGCGTCGAGGGGAGCTTGAGGTCAAAAGTGCCAGCACAGCCAAGGAGCAAGTAATTGATGCGCCAATGCAGCAGCTGGCTGATCAGTTTGATTGCAGCAACAGATGACATTCACAAGAAGATCAGCAGATCAGCCCCACTTAGGTCAGTTTTGGATCAATCTCAACTGTGAGAAGGGTTCTTTCTTTGGGAATGTTTAGTAACCGTAGAAGCTGCTCGACTGATTTTGACACTTGGGTTGCCCGATCAGAAAACATGCGTATCAGGAGGTGCTCTGGAAACATGCACAGAACTGTGGACAGTGGCCCATGATTACAGCGCTCGACAGCATTGGTTCGGACTTGACATAGATATTTGGATCATTAATGCCAGAAAGACTGCAAAGAGGTGAGCTGTGTGTTGGTACCGTAGATGATGTATTCACCCATTACAAACAAAAGGTGTGTATATCCGCGCAAGCCGACCCTGAGATCGGCTTCGTATCAGATCTCTGCCAGGAATACACATCACTCCCGGGGCATGGCGAGATGTGCGACAACTGTGTTCACCGTGCATTTAAGCGCCATTATCTCATGGGCACCAGGGATACCCGCGAGACCCTAAGGACCAGACACTTGGAGGCCTTCTTCAGCGACGAAGATGTGTATGCCTCAGCAGTCATCCATACCGACAAAAAAGGGTATGAGGGGGCTCAAGAGTCCCAGGTCATCCAATCCTACCGCTTTCCAGCAAGATAATTGCAATGTACGTTCTAGACTCTCAGTCACGGTGCGATCGCGTCCCAATGAAGTTTGTGAAAGGGAGTCGCTCCGCCCTCAAAGAAGATGCATGCGTCAACGTCTTGACCTCCGTGCTTATTGCCGAGAGGATTTTCAGAAGAAAAGAAGGCACTTGGGTATGGGTCAAAATTAAAGCACCAGGAGACCGAGGTGTTTGTCCTTGTTTCCTTTTACCAGGTTTCCATGTAGGGTACCTATTTTTGACCACCACACCGACTTGTTTCCACGAGTCACTACGTTGCAGTGGCAAGCTTTTGATGGGGTTTTCTAAACACTCCAGGAGGTTTTTCCTTTGTCTTCGTTGCTTTGGGTTTGTCACCCAAGGTTTTTCTTGGTTTCCGTCTAAAAAAAGACATCTTGGATGTTTCTCAAACAGAAAGGGACCTTTGAGTGATGGGTTGTTTCATGTAAATACCGTGAGTCCTCAAATCAGGGTCCCCTACAAAGGTTGCTTCCCTTTCACCAACCAACATTTCAACAGGGGGTTGCCAAGTCTATGATAACTCGCTGCGCACGGGCGTCGCCACCATTTTGGCTCAGCGGCACAGCACTTTTGTCCCGGCACTTTTCCATCGGTCGCCGCTTTCTCATGGCGCCTTGCCGGAAGGTCTGTGACAGGGCAGGGCACCCGCCCCCATTCTTGTGAGACTGGTTGCCATTTGTTTTCCCTTTCAACCCACACAAACAAAAGGAGTGCCCGCAAGATGCACACACACACACATGCAATGATGTGGACACAATAATTTCTCGGTAGGCAGGGAGATGAGCTCTGGTGATTTTAATGGGGAATGAGATTTACGGTGGTTGAGCCCGCGGCCAAGTTTTTCCGTCGTGTTTGTTTTTTCACGCGGCGGGTCAAGTTCAGGAGACGTCGTCACCAGCACTACTTGCGGTGTGCATGTAGGACTTGGCCCGGACGGATCTGCTCAGGTAGAAGGCACTGGACCAAGTCCGGCTTCAGGCCTGGAGTCTTGAGCAAGTCGCCGGAGAGAGAAACAGGACAAGTTGAGAAGCAACCCGTGTCTTTCTAGGGGTGATTCCAACCATTCTTTTCACCCATTCGTTCCCAAACCGATCGCTGTGTCCTCTGGGTTTTTGATGGTTTCCTGAAAAGAAGGATCCCTGGAAAGAATAATCTGCTCGTGCTCAGTAGGGAATGAGGGAATGAACACTCCTGGGGCCTTGAACGACTGTTTCAAAGCAGGTGCGGGCCGAAAAACCACTTCTGAGGCAAACGACCGGAACCGGTTCGAAATCCCTAGCCTACGCGGCCTTGACTTTGCCAGGCCTGTCTATTTTCCATTTTTCCAGTTGGGTGAACCAGAAATGGCCGTGAGCATTCATGTGCACAATCTAGAATCGAGAAGCCACTGCTAAGTACAGTTATGACACTTCAGATCAGAGCATAATGAGTGTAGCTGCATGCATGTGTTCTTCACAGCCTTTGCCCAGTGCGCCTGGCTTGCTTTACAGACCTGTCCCTTTCCCCATGGAACCAAGCAGCAAAACAAGAAACGACGCAGACGCAAATTTCTGTCCACTCATGGTGTTAGCCTTGGTTTAGAACCTTCCTCATTATAAGAAAGGGCACCCTAAAAAAAGGCTTGCTTTTGGGCGGCCGGACTCCTCGATTTTTTTTGCGGGGGGAACATTGGATTTTCGGAGGGCGGTTTTTCGGCCCGTTTTCGGCCCGTTGTCTTCCGTTTTCGGCTCGTTTTCGGCCCGAAAACCCGTTTTCGGGCCGAAACTGGCGATGGACAAAACAAGGAAACATCCAGAACCAGGCGTGCAACAACCAGAACCGTGCGTGCAACAACCAGAACCGTCCGTGCAAACAACTGTTTCTGAATTGATGGGTTTTCGGTTCCTTTTGGATGGGGCCATTGGGGCGACCACTCCTTTTTACCAGCAGAAGCCTCCTTTGTAAAGATTGGAAAGGGTTGTTTGGGAAACCAGCTGAAAGACACCCATTGGGTGCGTGAGGGAAGAGTGATTTGACCCACTGGCAAAGCCGCTCAATTATAGTGTTCTCGCCAGGGCTTTGGGGTGATAAACAATGTTCGTCGACCCCACATGCTGCTGATGCTGGCGGTACACCTATGTGGCTCTGCCCGCGGAACCGAAGGGTCTTGAAAGTGTGCAGTTCGCGCAGCCCCCTTCTCCATGCCTTTCCCTTTTGCATGAAAGCCTAGAAGAGAAAACAAAGGGATCAGTGCATTTCAGACTGCTGCGGCACGCTTGAGACCCTGCGGGTTGGCCGGGCAGGGTTGGTGCCAGTCTTGCAGAGACGCAAGTCAATCGAGGCTGAAAAGGATATGCCCAACACGAAATGCAGAAAATGGTGATCAGGCCAAACGGCCGGAACTGCAGCAAACGACCGGAACTGATGATGGATGTTCTTACGACTGTTTAAAAACGGATGTTTCGGGCTCCAGGCTGGTTTTTGGCCCCTTAAAGGAAACCACTGGACGGTTGAAATCGGGTTTATTCCGTTTTTCATTCCCTGCCTATCGCACCGATTGCAAGTAGTTGGAAGCTTTCCCGTTTGAGTCCGGATCTCGGCCATGGGCGTTTGGGGGAGTGAACCCATTTCCTCGCAAGCAAGCGGCTTGGCTACTAAGCAACCTGCTTCGAGAGTCAGAGATGCATGATGCAAAACCATCGTTGAATGAGCTTGTAGTTGGTGTGCTGAGTTTGATGCAACACTTTGCTCTTCAGTTGTGTTGCGTTCTCATCTGAAATCATGATTAACACGTTGGCTTGGCGTCATCAAGGCGTCCAACGAAGGACTTGTTTATATCCTAGACAAGCGGCTTTTCAAGGCTTGGAACGAAGTAGCTTGTGTCGCCATAAATCCGATCTTCCACCCCTCCCTTTGCAGGCGCTGAAGCTCAAGAGCGTCTTGGCGCATTGGGTTTGTCGTCGGAGAGGTGATATCGGTTTTGACAGGCCATGTTGGCCATTTTGTGGGGGCGTGACGTGGGGTGAGATGTTTGTTTTGCGTGGGGTGAGATGTTTGCTTTTTAGGGAAACCAAAAGGAAACCGTTGAGCCATTTTGGGCGGGGTCCAACCTTAGTAAAAGGGGCACACCCACATAAGATCAAATGCAACTTTTTCCTTCAACATGATGGACCCATTTTCGGAGGGGTTTAAGGGGAAACCAAAAGGACACAAGGCCAACAATGGGTCCCCTATTTTGAGCAACATCCAAATACGGGCAGGAAAATTCTCTTGAGGGACCCTCTGGACATCATTGTTGCGGATTCATGTCCAACCACTTTTGAGGTCCAACAGCCTGGTGCAACAGGGAACCACCATCAGGTTCCTCACACTTGGTGGTTCCCTATGGAAATTCATAGCCATATATTTGGGAGTCGTTCTAAAGGTCCTTGTAAGGAGTTTAGATTTCGGCGACCACCGGTGTTGGTTGAGGTAGCTCCGCGGAAGATTCGCGATGGAGTTGCGAAAGTAACTTTTTTTCTCGCGAAAATTGTGCGTAACTGTATCTTGTAAATCAATGATATGTGAAACCATTTATATTTGCTACTGAGCCTTCCTTCCAATCTGATTAAAACACTTTGTTGACTTTGCACTGATAAAGCGATAAAGCCAGGTGAGGCTACAGTTTGATACCCTGCTTGGCTGGTTAGTTCTCCAAGCCTGTGTATGTGCGCCTGTGGGTGTTTAGTCGGTGGCTTTCCGCTCTGAAACGTGGGTGATTTTTCGCAAAAGTTCCGCGAGAGATCCGCGAAAGCCCGCGCGAAAGCGCAGGCTTCGATTGCAAGGGAGGGAGGTACTTTCTGAGCGTCGCGCTAGTCAGTATACTAGCTTGGTACTGGAAACTTGCGACTTTAAGCTAGAGCTGCACGGCTTACGAAAAGCTGCGACTTTCCAGCCGGTTCATGTCATGTACTACCCCTGTGATGAAAAGTTGCGACTTTACAGCTGGAATTGGGGAATCGCATTTCGCGCACTACGCTGGCACTTAAAAGCTGCGATTTTCTGACTTGAGCAATGAAAACGGCACGGCGATGAATCCGCGAAAGATTCGCGAAAGTAACTTTTTTATTCGCGAAGAATGGCCGTTTCGAGACAAAGGAATTTAGAACAACCACCATTTGTCCAACAGCCCATGCTCACTTTTGAGTCGTGGTTTTCTTTATTGAAATTCAACAGTGGTTTTGTTTGGTCCAACCGCCCGGTGCGTGAAATTCCACCGTTTTTTTGGTCCCACCGCCGTTTTGCAGAGTGACATGCCCCGAGGCTGTGGCCGCCCCCGGGGCTGCCGGCCTTCGTGGATCTGACGCAGGCGCCCACCCGCTGCGCTCGTTTTCGATCGGAGCCGAGGAGCACCACCGGGAGCGGAACTCAAGTGAGGCACAGACACCCGGGGAAGTGAAATTCGGGGCTCCTGAAAAGATCTCCATTTTGCGATCATTTGAAGCATGTTGCTTTTTGCCACCGAAAGGAAGGGGAAACCACCATTGACAGGGCAATGTTCAGGTGTATAATGTAAGGATCCCTGTGAAGGCTAGTAAGGGACAAGCGCAACCATAAATAGCTGCGGCCGCCTTCATAATGATTTACATGGTTCTGGGTCGACCATTTTAATACCGAGTTTTGGTTATGAATCAAGTGTTGCATGGCCCAAAGGCCGCCTTGGATGAGATTTGCGACTCGCCAAAGTGAAGTGGTCAACAAAAAGCGCGGGGCTGGACATGGAAGGTCAAATGCAAGATGTATAGAGGCTCTTTTGACTTGTCACAGGCACCTAGCCAGCATTTGTCTTGCCTGACTTGACCCAATACGAATTTGCCATGCTCTGTTCTCGACTAAGGAGTGTGCAACATGCGCCAAAGTC